ACGACACAGAGCCATTGCAGCGTGGAAAGAAAAACCGTCAGAAGGCCAAGTGGAACAGTGCAGGGAGGAGGAGAGCCATCAGGATGCTGAGTGGGATAGTTCAGGGAGGAGAGCTCAGCTCCAGTGACAAGTGGGAGCCAATGTTTGTGCCCTGCTCTCCATCTCAGGATGGAGAGCACTGCACAAACACTGAACAATCAGTACTGATCGCTTAGGGTTTGTAAAGAACTAAGACCTCAGTTATGAATGAAAAGGAAGTGCTATACATCACTTTCTGTTCATTCAGGATTGTGGATACTACCCCCTTCAAGGGACCTATGCAACCTAGTTCCTGATACTTGGCCTAATTGTCCCACTCACTGAGTGAATCTGCAGAGACAGGGCAGGCTCGAAGGCAATTAAGCAGCTCTGGACCTGGAAAGAGCTCCACAACTAACTAGAATGGAGCCTGGAAATCATCCTGATCCAGCAGGATCTGGACATGGTACTCCAGCTGAAACTAGAGATGACAGCACCACATACTGCAAATCGAAGAGACAATTCTCCAGCAGCTATGTAGATTTATTTACGTTTTCATGAAGATAGAGCGGTAGCAAAAAAAAAGGTTGTATTTAACACAGGACAGCTGGTGGTAGGAATGGTTATCCTGGGCTGGCGTAGAGGTATGTTTGCCAGTCTCCAATCCTCCTGTAGGCGGCAGTATAACCCAAAGTTTAAAGAACTGTGTGCCTCAATGGACAAAAAGATTCAGATGGGTGCCCACTCTACTTAACGACACAAAGCCCTCATTCACACAGGAATTGGCCCGCACGTACAGCTCCGTGCAGGCCTGTACCGAGCAGCTCCTAGGAAGGATAAGTGCTGCGTGTGATTAGTACGCAGCCCCCGTCCTTCTCTATGGGACTACATATGCCCCCCTATGCTCATCTGCCCTGCTCATCCGTGCAGGTGAGCGTACTCGTACGCCAACAGGTTGGATCCTGTCTGCGTCCGAGCCAGGAGACACCCACCCCTACGGACCTGCACTTGAGGTGAGCGTAGGGGGGCGTATGGCCGCGTAGTTTCATAGAGAAAGACGCGGGCTGCGTACTAATTACATGCAGCACCTGTCCTTACTTGGAGCTGCTCAGTACAGCCCTGCACGGAGCTGTACCTGCGGGCCGATTCCTGTGTGAATGAGGGCTTACAGTGAACTGTAAAATCAACTGCAGTGCCAGTGTATGGGATAATGGATGTCAAGACTGATGGTGTTATCCTCATTTATCAGGTCTGTGTTGTTCATAGCAACCAGGATTTCTCTTTTTTTTTAGCATGGTATTCTCTTTTCTTTTTAAAGCATCTACTGGAAAAATGTAGTTAGCATTTTTGAAAAATGAATTTGAATGGGCAATATGAGCACTGGAATATCTAGGCAGTTATGCCTAACCTCTAAATTGCAGACACATACAGTATGTTTACCTCCCATCTAAGGCCTACACACTTTGCAAGTAAAAGCATTTCCTTTATATTACAAGTACAGTAAAATTTTTGCAAATTTAATGGTCCTAGAAAAAGCATTTAGTTACATTTTATTTTAAAAGCAGCTTAACCCCCCTCCTCCACAAACACACAGCATCTGCAGGCTATACTAAGGAAACACCTTGCTGTATTCCACAGCTAGGTAAAATTATGATGACGGCTATAGAAATCTGCCGTTTGCTGCAATAATTATTACTAACAGAGGAGGGAGCAAATGCCTGCAAAAGGGAAAAAAACAGCACATTTCAGCAGCAATAGTCTTTACCAGCCCAGCCTAGGAAACTGTACAAAACTGCATGAATTACAAAACAATATAGATGCAGAGTCCTTGCATACCTTTGGTTTTGCACAGAGACCAAAGTCTATTAACTTCAAGTTCTGATCTTCATCAATAAGGAGATTTTCCTATAAAAAAGAAAAATTGAAAAAAAAAAAAAAGGGCTTTTACACTATGCATTCGTGTCACAAGGATGTGCATTAACTATAAAAACCAAAAAGCTTAGAAAAATCAAAATCAAAAAGAATCACTCACTGGTTTGAGATCTCTGTGAGCATAACCCTGACTATGGATATAGGTGACAGCAGATACGATCTGTCTGAAAAAAACCCTAGCTTCTTCTTCAGTTAGTCGGTCTTTTGCAATAATGTAGTCAAATAATTCACCGCCAGGACAGTACTGCAAGAAAACAATTTTAAAAAAATATTTAGGCAATGCAAGCTTTGCCATTTAGCACAGTAGTTATTCACCACTTTGTTCCTGTTGAAGCATTGATTTTAAAAAAAGGGACTGAAGTCTTCCATTAAGAGCATATATAAAAAATGCAGCATATAAAAAGGACAAGAGGTTTAAAAGGCCATACACAACCCATTCATATACAAAGTACAAATTTGTAAATTAAATATAGTCTAGTAAGCTTGTAAAACTAGGAAAATGACAAGCGAACCTGTGCCCACACTATGCACACTAAAGTATTTACATATTTTGTACATATGCCCTCAATCTTTATGTAGCAATAGTAATTGTGGAGAAGTTTGTTTTCCAAGTAATACAGATTGATTTTTTTAACCCTGTTTAAACATGGTTTATTGCTCTCAAAACAGTTGCACAAAATTCACAAATGTATATTGTTTGCATTCATACAAAAGATAACAGTGGGTGATAACAGAAGAAAAAAAAATTGAACAAACTTTCAAAGTTCACACACAAACTATGATATTTAGGTGGACAATTATACCTCATACATAACCTTCTCTTATGGATAACCTGATTTATTAACCTCTACTGGAATATGATAGTGGAAAGATACATTCATCCACCCAATCGCAATAAACAATGTTCCAGTAGGAATATTCTGGTGTAGTGTGGCAAGCGATCATCCAATAAACCAAATTTTGGTCATGCACAAAACTAGAAGGCTTAGTAGGGTAGCAAGAAAGTAGTTCCTTGCTTCCAGAAATCAGCTAACTGGAGTACTCCAGATAAAAATCAGCTTGGGTAAGCTTATACACTTATGGGTGACCATATTTGCCATTTAGGGCTAATAGGGTAGAATTCAAACCTTTATGGGCCTGTGATCTCAAAATGCCTATTCGGACATAGTTAAGACATTTTATAGATTTTTGTATTTTTAATACAAAAGGAACAAGTCAACATTATTTCCAATTGCATACAGAAGTGCAGAACACCTTCAAGTTACACATTTAATAAGGTGGCAATTCTATGAGATTTCCATAAAGCAGAGTCAGAGATAATACATACCTGTAGCTCCTCATGAATTGGTTTAGGTCATAGAGAGAAAATCAGACAGACCCTGAGATGATACCAGTCATTCAGCTCCATTCATGGAGATGGACAATTGTGGGAATGGTAAAAGCAGTTTGTGAGGGAAGAGTTTAGGGGCGTCTAGAGAAATGACTGTCTTATACCCAGTATATGTGTCAAGTGGGACTCTGAAGAGTAGTATCGGGAAAGACCCATTAAACTAGGGGCTGCAACAGCCCTGCTAAAGTTAAAAAAAAAAAAAAAAAAACTTTGGGAGGGCCATTATTGCCTTTTCCTTGGGCCTCTAATGTGGTCTAGTAGTGCCCCATGCAAAAGCAGAAAACATCGAATGGAGTTCTGAAAACAAAAGGACTTGAGTACTATCTCATGTGAGTGAGTTTATAGGAGCACTTGGGGGGGAATAATCTAAAAAAGACTGATTCTGTGTTGTACAGACAGAGGAAGTTTAGACTATATCTGGGGGTTAGAGGCATAATAGTCAATGTCTGCTGAAGTATTCACCAAGTTTTCCTACAGTATGCATGACAGAAGTTGAGGGGACCAAATCATGTAGAAATATAGTATTAGGACATCAGCAAATAGCCTTAAACATTCAGTTTTCCTGCCAAGTGTAAACTTTCCTATTTGTTGGACCCAGTGGCTGAGACCTAGACCTCTATAGCAAATAAGAGCATTTAAATGGGTCATCCCGTCTCATGCACTGGTGGAGGGGAAAAGGGGAGAACAGGCCATTAACTAGAATATTGGATTGAAGGTAAGCATAGATTAAATTACAAAATTTGAGGCCCAGATTAAAAACGGGCAAGTCGGGCCTGCATTCTATAGTCAAAGGCCTTTACTGCATCTGAAAAGGCCAAGGAGCTTACGTCCCAAGAGATGTGCCGTCACATAAAAGTATAACTAAGCAGTTTGAAACCAACTGAAACACTTTAGATCCTTTGTGACCTTTGATAACAAGTCACTTTACAGTACGAGGTAGAGAGGTTAGGGACCTCTTGTTTTAAAGCTCTTTTACTGCTTGTTCAGAACATGTAAAAAATTATTTTGCTTTGCCTAACTTTAGTGTCATAGCTCCAAATACACTATAGCTACCCTTTAAAATGACATTTTATAAAAACACAGCATAATACAAGAGGTACCCATGAATAGTTTATCTGTGATCTTGTACCCTGATGTTAGATGGCCTAGTGTGAATGGGAATCTTATATGGTAAAAGAAAAAAAAAAAAAACGATTGTCACCTCAAGCACCATGAAGATCTTCTTTGGAGTCTCGATTACATGATAGAGTCTACAGACATGTTGGTGGCTTAAATTCTTCATTGCATCAATTTCTGTTTTGACTCGAGGCAAATCATCCTTGGAAAAAAAATTTTTTATATCTACCATCAATAATATCCATGTATAAAATCACCCACAGTCAGTGTTAATGCTTACATTAAAGCTCAAGTTTAGTTCATTTTTTTTTTCCTTATGCAGTCCCAAGGAAAGGTGTGCCCTATATCCTGGTGCCTGCTGCTTATTGTAGAAATCTTTTACGAGTGCTGCAAGATACCCACTACAGTGCAGAGTCTGAAAAAGTTGTGCAACTCGTCCGGGTCCTTCCTCTTCCATTCATAGAAGTTGAACAACTATTTTCTATAATGCAAAATTACCTGTAATTGGGAGGAGGGGCAGATGAATGACCAGATCCAAGAAGTGGGTGTGCCCCCTCATTGCGTGGTTGCCTTTTAGCCAGAATTGTTAGTCTTAGGAGTCTAAGGTTCTGTGGTGGAATTGGACACCTGATTGAGACCTGGAGGCAGAGGCCAAAAGGAAACTAGCCTATATCTCGATGGCTGTCCTGGAAGAAGTCTAAGGTTCTGTGGTGGAATTGGACACCTGATTGAGACCTGGAGGCAGAGGCCAAAAGGAAACTAAAAAAAAAGGAACCTTTTAGGAGACCCCAAAATCAGAAAGCTTGGAAGCAGGTTTAGCTTTCTTTTTGCGAAGCAAACTCTTTCCACTGGTAACCTCCAATATAGGCATCCAAAAGACGCGCCAAAGAGTCACCCTCGAAGGTCACCCTCTCAGCGAGTTTCATGCAGGCAGGTTCTGCCGACCAGCACTTAAGTCACAGGATCACACGCAATTGGATAGAAAGAAGGGCCATCCTGGAGACGTGGGGTAGCAAGTCCCCCAACCCATCAACACAGTAACAAAGCTCCAGCTGCTAGAGAACCACAGGGTCCATGAGAATAGAACCAGGATCTGTTCTTACATCTGGCCAAGACTGCCAGATGTGGGGGCAACAGCAGGTTGCAGCACAGGCCCTCTCGATCCTGTCTCTGCCAGGACAGGGGAGGGGCTGGATTCCCCCCTCCGCCAGCGCTGACTGGCGGAACGGACAGGGGAGGGTACAGCTGGCTCTGCCTCTAGATAGGCAGAGCCAGCTGTCAGTCGCGCAGCTGGGCGGATCCAGACAGAATTGTCGGGATCCACTTCAGCGCCTTTGTATACCGCGAGAAGCAGCTCAGTGCTCGCCGTATACTGAGCCTAGGGTGACGGGAGCACGCTAGTTTGTGTCCTCCCATTACCCTAAGGAGAACTATGGGGAAAAGCCTTAACCCATAGTTCTCCTTAAAAAAAAAAAAAAAAAGGTACTTGAATGCATTTTTGAGATTTAACTCCTGAGTTAAGCGACACTTAAAACAATGCCTTCTTCAGATGCAAAAGGATAGGCAGGTTTATTTCTGCTTCATGCGAACCATCTAACATACGTGCCAATGGATTACAATTCTTGTTTCTATGTATAGTTAATATCTATTTGTATAGATAAGGGCAAGCCTTTGGTGTCTCTAATCTCACTGCTGGTTGAAAATAGACTCCGCATAGGCTGGGAAAGAGAAGGTTTTTCTATTCATGCCAGGGAAGATACTTTACTCAAAATAGTAACGTGACTGACTTGGTAATGCATTTATGTGCTATATTTATTGATGAGAAAAGTTAATTTGACTGAACAGATGCACTCACTGCAAGTACAATGCATAAATGTTTCTTGCCCCCTAGTGTGTCCAAAACACTGAACCAAAATATCCCTGAGTACTACAATGGAGAAGCCATTAAGCTCTTTTTGCCAAGGACTTTATCCCCCCCCCATTCTTGAAAATCAACAATTAGTAATTCAAATAAAAACAGAACAAACTGTATGGATACCCCTAGGGAATCTTTGTCCATGATTTTGATGGCCACTTTTTCACCAGTAAGAAGATGGGTCGCAAGCTTCACTTTTGCAAAGCCTCCTAAAGAAAAAGAAAAAAGGTAAATAAGAAATAGAATATATATATATATCTATCATTTGAAGCAGAACAAAGTTTTCTTCAGATTAAACTGTAAATTCTTGCTGAGCTCTACTCCAGGTACTGAAGTTAGCTGGCTTTGAACACAGGGTTCATTAAATTAGATATTCATTGTAAATGAAGAAAAATCAGTATTTTTTACCTTGAGGGTACGTATACACCCATCAGCCCTGTCAAGAAGGTTTTGAAAGTTACCGCTCTGAGGCAAATGAAGAACAAGCTTTTGCTCTTATAACAAAATGTGTTCCTAGTTTTTAGATCAAAGAAGATACGATATCACCACAATGGTGTCAAGGAAACACATCTCCACCTAAGCTTACTAGCCAAACCTTAGGGGTGTAATCACACACCAAGTTTTTCCCCTATAAAAATACATCTTATTACTTGTTGATCCTGAATGTAGATACATTGTTTTTCCACAGTGTATGTGAACCCTTTTCTTTGTTAAAACATTTAAAAGCATGTAACATACAAATATAAAACAAACTATCAAATATAAAAAAACAAGCCTTCTAAATCCCATTTTATTCCTTTTCTTTTTTGGACAAATGGTCACATGACCACTATTCTTGGCTGTATCCTGGGCACTGAGGAGAGGGAGCGGAGACTCCTTTTAAATATCAGCAGCTTTTGTAGATGTCACATATCCTAGCAGCTGTCACTCAAACCTGTGCAGGGCTCAGCAAGGAAGGTAAGGGTTTTTTTCAGCAGTCAGAGCACAGGAGTACAGGTACACAGAGTTTGCATGGCATCCGGCAGCTCCCAAGTAGAAGACAGAGATGCAAACCGACCACGTTAGGACAAATATGCTTCTGCACATAGCATGGTCACAAGGAACAGGAAGGGGGTGTTAATGAAACAGACCGGCAGGATTACCAGGCATGTAATGTATTTTAGTGCTTTTATAAAAATAAAAAAAAAGCAACTTGCCAAGTGCATTGTTGGGGACAAAAGGAAAGTAATCTCCAACTAAGTGTTTATATTAGGCTGAACAGGCTACCTATCACAGCATTGCACAAAACATGAAAAACAGAAAAGCACACAAAAAAAAATGCTATGTGAATGCTAGAGATACAGACCATCATATATACAGTTTATATTGCCCATAGTTTAACATGGAACATATGGCCAATTTTTATATTTTGCTCCAAAAGCAGAGTTTTAAACCAACAGAATGCCAATACCATTGTGGTTTGGCAAGTAAGATCTAATGAAAGCGCTAGTAATGGGTCATGCTACAATTGCACTAATCTATTGCAAAATGTGATAGGTGCTCCTTAAACAAAACTGTACTGATTTGTTTCCCTAAACATGTCCCATAGCCCTAATGGCTTGGCTCAACTAGGATTCAAACTGTAGCATTTTCCCATCTGATAACAGAAAGAAAGATGGCAGCACTTCAATGTAAAAATTACAGTAACTACTTATTTTGAATTTAAAAACCTACCTGTCCCAATAGTGTTATGTAATTCATAATGTTTTAGCAGCTCCTCGTAATCATCGACAGCCATGCTTGCAATTTTGCTTATGTTAATGAAGACCTACAAAGTAAATGAAAAAAAATTAAAATATAATACATATTATATAATTATTGCTAAACTACTTAATTTAAAATGTTTAGCTTGTGCGCGTGCGTGTAGTAGAAAAAGCAGGCAAGTGCAGATCATGCATCTATTAGCTGCATGATCTTGATCAGCTAGTTAAAAATGACCACAACATACATTTCTAGGTCCCGTCCATTTATCTATATCCAGTTTCAATGATTTCCCAAGGACTTTAAACAAGTAGCACATGCAGGTGGGTGATGATATACCCATAGGTTAATGGAACGGAACTTTAAAGTGGAACCTTTTTTCAGTGTTTGAAGAGCAGCAGTATTAGATTCTTTGTCAGGTTGCTCTTGAGTTTGCATATGGCCTCCAAAGTCTTGGCATTTTTGAACCATTAGCAATTAAACAACTTATCAGAATCAAGAACCCCAAGTACATATTGTTGATGTCAAAAGGTTCCTAACAGACTAAGGATTAAAAATGTAAACCTTTACAGGAAAAATAAAATAATATAGGCTGAACATCCTGTGGTAAGCTCTTTAGGCCTCATTTACACACAACGCAAGCAAAATTGTATATTGCGTATATACGCGTCTATAAGAGCATATATGCATGCACTATTTGCATTCCCAGAATGCATCATTCCTAATGGAAATTTTATTGAACAATACGCATATATACACGCGCAAAAATGCATATGCGCGTAAAATACGCAGAAATACGCATCTCGGTTCCATTCTGTTTTTGCGCATATATACGCTATGCAAATATACGCCTCCATACGCGGCTATGTGTATGGAGCCATTTATTTGCATATGGTACAATACGCATGTACGCGCGTATATGCGCGGCAGTGCGAATGAGGCCTTAGAGAAAAAAAGATAATATACAGGGACTTTGACATAGCACCCAAGAAATGTTAACTTACTACTTACTAATTGTTATATAATGTTTACATTTATATTGTATAACCAATTGATAAATTCATGGCTATAAAAAAGGGGGGAAGGAAGGTTTATAAATTGAAATATATCACAATCTAATACCCGGTGGTGCATCTTCTATAATAAATAAATTCAAGAGGCGCACAGATGTTCAAAATGTAAAAATCACCCGAGTACACATCATTTGTATTTTATCTGGCAACTTTAAAAAAATATATAATTATGAATTTGAGGTCTCGAGATCCAGATACTGTACCCAAAAACTGAAGGTTAATTACACATTAAGAAAAAAAGAAGAATATTGACTGAAGTGAACAGTCTCTATGCTTACTAAATCAACCCCATTATGTGCATACATTCAGCTTGAGCTATTGAGTTATGCAAACAAGCTTTTCCCACCTTTAGCTATAGTCATGTAAACAACCCAAAGAAAGCTCCTCTTGCTGACTCTAAAATAAAAATTCATATGCAATATTTAATCCATAATATTTAGAAAAAGAAAATGCTAAAAACATTATACACTCCTTATAAAATTGAGCCTCTCCCAGGTTGCGGGAGAGCAAGTTGACATTTGTTAAAGTGTAGAAGAGAAGTAAGAAAAAAAACCAACCCTACGCTAAACTAAAGTCACAAGTCACTTTGAGCTTTGTCACACTCTTTCTTCCCAGGAGAACATCTGTACCAGTCTCCAAAACCCTCCAACCAGCAAACAGGATGAGGGGAGAATTTATACAGAACAGAGGCTTTAAACTTCAATGCCTCCAAAAGATGCTCAAATTTTCATTACTAAGAGAACAGTAGTTTTCACCTCTCCTTCAAAATGACAGGTGAAATGCAACTATGAAATTATGGCACAGAGGAACTAACATTTACATATGTGGATTCAAAAATATTCTAGGGATGCACCAAAACCATTTTTCCCCAGTCAGAGTACCGATACTTTTCCTCAAGTACTCGCCAGTTACTGCTACTTTTTTTTAGCATCATGCGACAGTTTTTGTAAAACAATACAAACCAATGCTTTTAGGACAGAGGTGGAGTGCCAGGACCCGGTCCCAGCTGCAACCCTGGTAGTTCTGCCACTGACTTCAAATCCCAGCAATACATTATATAGTAGGGCCAGGAATGAGGAGGAGATGTTCGACTGGCCGGCGCTCTTAACAGCCACCGCAAAGTCCCCTGCAAGCGTGGGAATTTACAGCAGCCGAATCATTCGAAAAATTAAAGGGCCAGTATCTGCTTTTAGCATCAGGACATTTTCATGAGTACACGTGAAAATGCCCAGTATCGGTGCATCCCTACTACATAACCTTTTGCTGGTGCCTTTATGGCAGCATACATACATATGGATGGTGTTCCGCCCTTGACCAACCCAGTACGGATCGGATGTCATGGAAATTACTGGACCCATGTCGGTCTATGGGGAATAGGATGTAAATGGACATGTGTCCATTTACATCAGATTACACCCAGGGCCCAGTCACACCATATCCAGTGCGTTCCGATCGCATAGACATGCCATTGACATGAATGGCAGTGCCATTCATGTCGATGGCACCGTAGACACGCCTCCCCACCTGCAGTGCGATTGTCCACAGCTGAACTCGAGGTAAAGGAATGCTCTCCGTTTCAGTGCCTGATCTATGCGATTCAGTGCGTTCTGGGCTTGGACTGGACAGGATATCGTGTGACAGCACTCAACCCAGCACGATCAGCTTCAGCAAAACAGATCTCTGAACGGTTTGTTTTTACGGACCTGGCCGGAGTCGGGTGTAAACAGACGCCCGCCCATTTACACACGGCTGCCCATAGGCTAAACACTGGGCATCCAATTGGGCCTGCTTGAAAAACCTGACAGGCAGAGCTGATCAAACCACCCGCGTGAAAGGGGCCTAGGACTACATACCCTGAAAGTTCATGTTTTCGCATTGGCCACTCTGTCACTGCCCTAGACCAGCTGTCTGCACCAAATTCATCTACACATGCACATGACACTTTGCACAGAGGCTTTCATAAACAGTAACAGTTCACATTTTGGGGTATTGAGACATTTCTTCCAACAGGACCAGCCAGGAATATTTCCATATACAGTCGGGTCTCACAAGTAGGCCCACGCCCTAACAGGTCTGCCTTAAGGTGCCCATACACTGCACGATTATCGTACGATAATCGTATGCGATCGGGTTTTCGTACGATAATCGAGCAGTGTGAACGGAGACGTGCGACCCTTTCTACTGTACGGTCGCACGTCTTCTGTCGAACCAGCATGTTCGAAAACCAGCCGGGAATCGTACGATTCTCGGCTGGTTAGAACGGTGCTCGGAAGATAAATGCTGAACGGGCCGGTGTGCGCACGCGCACACTGCCCGTTCAGCATTGCGGTCATCGGAAGCCCGCCCCTCAGGAGGGCGGGCTTGCGATGATCGAGAGTGCGATCTGCCTGTCCAAGATAGGCAGATCGTACGTTTTTTTAATCCCTTTACAACCATCGCAAGACTAAAGTCTTGCGATGGTTGTAGAGTGTATGGCCACCTTTAGTGATGAGCCAGTTCCCCTGAGTTCTCTCAGGTGTGCAGAAAACGGTGACCGAGGAGAGGCTCATTCCCCACCCTGCAGCTATATCTCCCAAACGGGCAGGAATGTTCCCCACCGCAACTGATTGGGCTGCAAAGCTGGGGTGCTGGTCACAGTTTCGAATGAGCTTGGCCAAATTTAGGTCAACTGGGTTCGCACCAAGCCCAGGCTCATCAATAAGCTTCCCCAGAGGAGAGCCTCTGAATACACATCAGACTTACCATTGCCACGCTAGAATTTTAAAGTAATGACTCCCTAGCTTCACCTAGAAGACATAAGTAATACCCCCCTCAAGAGAAGGCAACACCCTGTTACAACGTCACTACACAGGCATATTTCGGATACCACTCCCGTATAGCAGGAGGCACGTTGCTCTAGGAAGAAAGCAAGCAGTTGGTGACATCACACACATACATGGAAGCACATTCCACCTACGCAGGTGACAGCGGCTCCTGCTGGGAGTTACTGTCAATCAACATAGGCAGGAGGCATGGCCACAAAACTGACAACGGAAGATAAAGACATGTGATGTGCCGACCTGTAACTCCCAGAAGTGATCACAGGGACACTATCTGACCACACCACCACATCTTCTCCATGCTTGTCATGCTCAGTTAACAAAGAACGGGCAACTGACAGGATCACCAGGTATTTAGCACCAAGTGAATTTTTAAAAAACATTACAGACTACATTCAGCAAGATCTGCAGGAGCAACACAACACACATTCAATCTTATTTTTTGGACAAACATACAACTGTAAACAAATCTAATGCATATGCAATAAGCAATGTGCATGATTTCTACATCAGGCACACAAAGGGGGGAATTTACTGGAATAAGACTGGAGCAGATCAAATCTGGAGCACCCATGCATAGTAACCACTCTGCTTCTATCTTTCATTTTCAAAGCTTAAAGGTTTTAGAACAATTAGCACTTGCAGAGGGGCTACACCTGCAATGGTAATTGCTTGTTTTGGTCTATGGCAGGGGTCTCCCAAGGCTGGGTGACACCCGGAGCGGTTAGCGGGAGTCAACCCCGCCGAGATGTCATAGTGCACGCGCCGCGATCTTCTGATACCTGTTGGCAGAGAGAGGAGGGGACAGTCACCCGGCGCTGGGTCCCCTACTCTCTCCTGATATCTTTTCAGAGGGGGGGGTGACACCAAAATGACTGCCAGTCATTTTGGTGTCACCCCGGTGCGGGCCGCACCCCCCTTGTGACGCCACTGAGGGGTATGCAAACTCCAGCACTCCAGCCCACCGACAGCCACAGGCATGACTCCTGGAGGAACATGCATGAGGGGATTTGTAGTTTCACCACAGCTGGGAGTTTACCTACCACTGGTCTAGGGGCTCAAATGACAAAATACTCACCTGATCCACGGTCCCACAGCCTGATCAACACTGGGCTCCGGCGGTCTAAGCGCTGCTGACATCATCAAGTCTATTCACGTGTATTAGACATAAAGATGCCGAGGAACATATCACAGCCGGAGCAGAAGGGTGAGTGATCACAGGACCGAGGATAGGGTGGATATTTCTTCTGTATTTGAGATCATAGGAGAACAAATGAGCAATTAACCCTTGCAGTGCCAGGGTAGCCCTACTGCAAGGGTTCATTTTTCTAAAACTTGGAGTTCTTTAAGAGAACATGCTGCCGAAGACAGAAGCTGAATGTTTACTATGGAGAACTGCTCCAGATTTAGGAAAAATGTCCCCCACCCCTTTGTCTTTTTCAGTTATTGACCAGCATGTTGCAGGATAGAATGTCTTGCTCTTCTTCAGGGAGTCCCATTATCAACTGTCATCTCAGACCTTCCAATAGAACATTGGCATTGACTAATGCCAGGCAATCCACCCAATAAAGCAGTCAGGTGTTCATTGTATCGTTCAGCCCAACACAATGCCAGAGGCTCCTACAAACTGGGTAAGCGAATACACAATGTTACACAAATGCAAACAACAGATGACAACTCTGTGTGTAAAGACTTGATGACATGATTTGGGCTTTACGTTAAGACTAATATTTATCCAGCCGATCATGTGTGTTCATACTACAGATGAAGCCATTCGAATCTAATAAATGGTTAGGATCTAGTCACAGACCTGTCCTGAGAGATGGCGCTCCTCACAAGCCGATCAGCTGCAGACCCGGCCGGACAGTCATCAAACAGCTACTAGTACTAATATCGCTGACAAAACAGTAGCACACGAGCTCAATAGGGAGTGACGTCATGAACTTTTAAATCTGCCGGGGAACACCTCCAGCTTCCGGCCACGGAGTTTCCCAGCCAATGAAATCAAACCGCTGGAGTGAGGCGCTTTGCATGCTGGGAGGAAGGTCGGACTTTGCTATGAGAAGATGTGGGACTTAGATTGCCATGATAGTGGTGGCAAGAAAATGATTTGTATTGTAAAAGTATGCTTCATGCTTATTGGGCAGACATTTGAAAATCGTGTTATTGTTATGTGACCTTAATACCGACTCTGTACGTGATGGTAGTTTATACCTAGAGTAGTTACTTAACATGGATGTGGCTAAATCATTCATTATTTTTAGATAATTTCCGTTTTATTAAAGTAAAACTTAAACTTTATTTCAGGTTTGGGTAGAGTGGAGAGGGACTAGAGCCCCTGTCAGGTTTTTATTGCTGTCTGTATCCCTTTTAGGGAGATTCAGCCTCCCTATTTGTCCTAATGGCCTGTTGCCTCTGGCTGCATCTCTTAGGCTTGGTTCACACCCAGGCATAGCGCGAGCGCGCTTTGCGCTTGCACACGCTTGTTCTCTGCGTTTGCTTCGCATCCCCTATGATTTCAATTAGAGGTGCACCGAAATGGAAATTTCAAAACCGAAGCGAAAGGAAACCAAAATTTTAAAAAATATCAGACCGAAACTGAAAATGTTTTTTAGTTTAATTTTTTCATTTTTTTTTAATAGTTTATTTATTTTTTTATAAACTAAAAATCTAAAAAAATGTTATATTTATTTTTATTTATTTACTTTTATTAAATATTTTTACTTTACTTTTAGGGGCTTCAGGGAAATATCGGGGTCTAAGCAGACTGCTAATATTTCCCTTTTGAAATAGAAAAAGAGATTGAGGACACAGAGTCCTCAATCTCTTTTTCTGCAGCCCCTGTTATCAATGAACAGGAATCCTTTATACTGAGTGTTCCTGTTCATTGATAACATGAGGACAGAGTATGGTTACTATAACTACAACTATGAATGAACAGGAGGTGATGTAGATCACTCCCATTCATTCATAATTGGGCATATAGTAACCATACTCTGTCCTCAATTATTTACAAGCACTCAGCGATCACTGAGTGTTTGTACCTCGCTCTCCTTCCTGACACGTTGTCACGGGAGGCTGAGCGAGCGGAGCAGGGAGGAGAGCTCAGCCTCCCGTGACAGCGTGTGCTGTCTCCGCCCACACACCGCTCTGCTGGACTGTGGCAGGAGGCTGAGCGGTGTGGGAGGAGAGACGCCGGCCACTCACAGCGCTCTCCTCTCGCAGTGCTCGTCAGCCTGTCACACTTTCTCTCCTCCCCGCTGGGACACAGAGCAGCGCCCAGCGGGGAGGAAAGAAACCTGGGATGCATCGCTGTATCGGCAGGAAAATGACACTATCGGCGGCTGATATCGGTGCACTTTCGGCGGCCGATATCGGTGCATCCCTAATTTATAATGCATTTTTTATGCGCATTACCGCAATGCCTGGGTGTGAACCAAGCCTTAGGGTCACCAGGCGGGGGAGGGGGGATGGGGTGTGGCTGTGCCTGCTGCCCCCTTTGCGGCCAGAGTGTCCCAAGTTGCTAAGCTCCTAGCAACCAGCGACTTTAGTGAGCTGGGTGGGACGCCGGACAGACCCGTAGGCAGAGGTAAACCAACTCGCCCAACCGCACCCCTTTTCCCACCTCAGAACATGCTCCGCTAGCAATCCTCCCCCACATAGAAACATGCTTCACTAGCACACACACCCTGCTACCTCAGAATGAATGTAAATCCCAAATATAGAATAGATGGGAAATCCACCAATAGGCACACTAGTTCTGCTTGGTGGCAACTAGTGATTTCCCTAAATTTTGAGGCTCTTTGTGGCTATGAGACAGGAAGTGAAGGAAAATCTCTACAATGGGACACAGATGGCAAAAACACTGACATGGGGTAAAACCCTCCCCTGTCCAAAATTAATTGCTAATCACCAGCATCCACCGATGCGCTTAGTGTTTCCTTTTGCTGACACCTACATCACTACTGTAAGAGCCACAACAAAATATAGAAGTAGCCCCATGTGATATTTGCCCCTGGCACCCTGGTTCACTTTATTTAGTTAGTCACTTATTAAAGCTGAGCTAGCTATAGATGTTCTATTTATTGATGAGATTCATCTGGTTCTTTCAGGTAATCATTGAGCAGAACTTCTATCAACTGATCGGCTGGTTGGTGATTCAAGTTTTGGCTGGAAAACAGCTGTCCAATGTGTGTAACCTTTCCCCTTTAGGGCCTGTTCACACGACGTCCGTTTTGTGCGCTGACCGGCTCCGTACGCTGCTGCACTCAAAATGCATCCCAATGTATCCCTATGTGTTTTATGGGCTCCAGTTCTCACGTGCGCAGTCCGTTCAGCTTACGACAGAAAAAATACTGCATGTCACATTTTGTCCGGTCCGGAAACGCACGAACGCACATGAAACGCAACGAAAATGCAACGGAAACGGAACGGAAACGCAACGCAGTTGTATTCTTGCTCCACTTATTATGATGTCATCAACGTTGACAAAAAATTAACTGTCAGCATCCGGACCGAAAACGTGTCAAAAACGCACTGCATCAGCAGCTACACGTCTGCTGATCAGCACCTGATCAGGACCTGATTTCATGTGAACAGGCCCTTATATGTTTATATATTTGATTTTTTTTTTACAAGCAGGTGATGTCGGAAAGGTTTACTCTGCTAGGTAAAGCAGAGTAAACCTTTCCGGGGCAAAATGTTTCTCTCCAAGAGTTCGACTCGAACATCGGCAGTTCGTGTGCAGGTGCAAGACTTTGCCCAATCAGGGCACAGTACTCTGTAAGAGCCATGATTGGGCAAAGTAATGATGACTTTGCCCAATCATGGTTCACCTGTCAGATGCCGTACAATTGTAAACAGTTGGGTGGAGCTAGCTAACTGTCACCGCTAGCTCCGCCCAATTGTTTATATTTTGCCAGCATCTGTCAGAATGCCATTCTGTGGCAGGAGTTCGTCACGAGCAGACGGGTCGACGAGCGTCAGGTTTTTAAAAAAATTATTTCTATTTATTTTTTCTTGTTTTATTTTTTATTACGTCGAGTTGTCGTTGTCGTGGACAACGCTGGATGTCGTGATTAACCCTGGATTTTGGCGGTGGATACATTTATTTATTTTTGTTAAATAAAAGACTAGTCAAAAACTTTTTTTTTTTTTCAATTGGGGGGGGGGGGGAGGCGCATTTGGGTGCCCCTTTATTAAAGGGGTACTCTGATGTGAATAAGCCCTCTGCCCGCAACCCCCACAACCAACGCCCAGGGCTTGTGGGGAAGAGGCCCTTGTCCCAATTGCCACGGGACAAGGTGCTTCTACAGGGGCGCCTGGAAATGTAATTTTCTGATTGGCCGCAAAACCAGCTCCATGCTCCCTCCCGGTCCAATCAGGAAGCGCGCGCAGGGGGGGGGGGGAGTCATTACCTGCCCCCTGGCTTCCTGTTCCTGATTGGATGGGCAGCCAGCTCCATGATCCTGGTGGCGAGGGAACAAGGAGCCGGTTTCCCGATCAACCAGGAAGCCAGGCAGCATGTAGTGACTCGCCTCTGATACCGATACTAGTATCAGTATCGATGCATCTCTAGTTTTTAGAGATCAGCATCAAATATAGAGCACTTCAATACATTGGTCCACTTACCTGTTTAGGATTTCAGGGCTTTTTTATATCTCAAATGTAGATAACAGACATTTCCCACACAGGTATTTTCAGCATATCATGTGAAGATTGCAGTCCCCTGCTTTGCTGATAGCAGCCAACATTTCCTTTAGGAAAATGGGGGGTACTACTTTTAAAGCACTGGTGCCAAGGAAGGGGTCCCAGAAAGGTGGGTGTATGTGCCTTCAACCTATATGCCCCCTTCCTGGTAAACAGTCTTTTCTGTTAACCAGTTCACAGTGTATGCAGGCATGAATATAAACTATGGATAAAACAGTCAGATCACACCGAACAGTGGGAGTGACGTAAAGGGGAATGGCTAAACGTGATACTACTTGCTCTTTCAAATGTCCAGAGATTTTGATCAAATTGCATTCTCTCTATTAGCCAGCAGGTGGGGCTTTATGACCTTTCATAAGTTTTTCTTCTTCTTATACAACAAAAATCCTATTGTTTACAGACCTAAAAAAAATCAGCTAAAATTTACACACAAAAGTATTTGAGTCAAAGCACTGCCCTTCTGGAAAACTCTGTCAGACCCTTTGCAATATTGTATACATTACTATACAGTATATAGGATGTGCAGAATACCTGCTTCCTTGCTGCACAGTGTGGTTCCTCCTACCATGTCAATACAGGATATACAAGCAGAGGTGTATCTACCACAAGGCAACAAGGCATTTACATTGGGCGGCACATTTCAGAAGGATGGCAAAAAAAACTAGGGATCCACCGATACTGGGCATTTTCAAGTACTCATACTTTTGAGAATGTCCCGATACTAAAAACGGATACTGACACTGTCATTTTTAAAATAGATTCGGCTGCCGTAAGGTCCCACGCTTGCAGGAGACCTTCTGGCAGCCTACTGGGGACCTCACGGCACCTGTTTACAGCACCAGCCACAAATCCCATCCTTCTCCTTCCTGGGGAACCCTGCAGCCCACACAATCATGCAGAGCCTGGTGAGACACCGCAAGGCCATGGTCAGACCCCGCACAGCCCAGGTGAGCAACATAGAGCATGTAGCTTCATATTATTCTGCATTGCTGTATAATATATTGATGGGATTTCTAGTCCTCTATTGCTGATGGTATTCTGCATTGCTGTATAATGTATTGCTGGGATTTGTTGTCCCTCTACAGCTTGAAGTCAGTGGCAGAACCACCAGGGTTGCAGGGTTTGCACCTCTCCCCTCTCCGATCCTTCAGCGCTGAGTGGAGGAACGGACGGGGAGGGGGCTGGAACAGCTGGCTCTGGCTCTAGATAGGCAGAGGTCGCTGTCAAACAGCCAGCGGGGTGGATCTGGACATTATTGATCCATCTCGGCAG